TGGAGTATTAGTAGTCTTGCGAAAGTGACATCTCATTATAATTTGGCTTTGTTAATCAATAATATATGTTGGAGTTGCAGATTAATGGTTAAGCCGTCACTAAATTCCAGGTTTAAACCCTTCTCTATTTACTTTATTTTCAGTAACGGGGTATTATTATCAGTCCACATCATAGTTAAAATGTACGTTGAATAAGTTAATCTATATTTAGTTTGCGTTATAAGTCATATCGTTTTGTTATAGTCATTTAAAGAATAGGAGGTTTTTAATATGCATCAGTATTTGTTAACCTTTTGTAAGATACACTAAGTCTCACTTATTGCAAGAGACAACTGGAATGAGCCATGTTAGTAGGTATTGACTACCCAGTTGGGGTCTGCGAAATGATATTAATCGATGGTTGGAGACCCTGAATGACATGGCTCAAAAGCGTTTGCAGTGGCGCAGGTGCATTCATTCTCTGTGTTCTCTCAAATCATAACCTTCGGAATTCCTCATCATCTTTATCTTTTTCCTTTTAAGTTTATTTCACTTCTTGAATTATATCGTCGAGCCCTAAGATTTCCGATTGCTGTTAATACTTCTACTACCTCTACTACTATGGTATTTGAAGTGACAATTGCATCTCCGTGCTAATGTGGTATGGCAACTTGAACTGATGTACGTACGTACGAAGTTCTATATTGTTGTTGACTAACTGACTGATTTATTGTAGGAACTAATATGTTGTTATGTAAGAAGTGAATCTCTATACAAAATAATAAAGATCAATTCTTTTTTTTTACCTATTTCACTTTTCTTTTCAAGTTTATCGATTTTATTCAGAGTACAATTTGATTTAAGTGTTCAATTGATAGTATAGTACATGGTTGACAATTAAATTCGATAAAAATTTTTTCAATGTTTACCTTTCATTATATTTGGTGAACAAATAAAGAGAATAATCATGACATTTAATACTTCAAAGGTTATTTCTTGTTGTTAACGGTTTCTTTTATACAAAATGATCAAAAGAAAAATTCACACTTTTCTTTATCATATTTTGTTGTTTTATGTGAAAAAGTTATGAAAAGGTTTCGCTTCTATTTGCCTACAACATTTAAAAGGCGAATTTTTAGAATTTCGAGAGTAAGAGTAAAGAAAGAAACAGAAGAATAACAGTTTTCTTTGATATGGTTTTCATTTAAATATTGAAAACTTTTAGAAAGTATTTTTCAATCAGTCTAGTTGACATCGCATATCAGGACTAATTTAAACTTTAATAACATTTCACTTAAATGAATTTAATGAATCCAAACTAGACTAAGTAATATAACTAATTTAAACGGTTTTATCAACTTCAAATAGAAAATTAGACAGAACAGTCAACCTTAAGTTTGTAGTTGATGTCTTTTATTCAAGACATCATATTATATGACTTGAAATTTTTCGTTTATGATTGTGTATTGTCAAGTAGATTTAAAATAAAAGTCAGAGTGTTAGATTGAGAGCACCGTGAAACATCGTTGCAGTCGGACGCCAACCCAAATGTTATTACGATTTATGTAAGCTTTTTTTTTTCTAATTTACTAGAAGTAGGAAAAAGAGATTAAATATAAATATATTTCAATAGCTTGTCAACTATTTTTCCTTTCTTTCCGTTTTGGACTTCATCGGATAGCACTTCTAAGTTCAGAAACGTTTATCTATTCAGGTAAACAAGTTGCATAAATCTTACAATTCCAAAAGTTGAAGTAATGTTTCAAATGTCTCAGTTTTAATAGATTCTCCTTTCTATATCTTGTTTTATTTTTACCATTCGCTTTTTGAAATATTACTTTGTGTAGTAAGCCTGCGACCCATTCTAAAATAATCTGGACAACTGCCATCTATGACATTTTATACCTTTTCTGTATATCTTTTCTTATGCCTCGGATTTTCATTGGACTTCTTTACAGATTTTCTTTTCGAAGAAAATACTGATACGTTTATTGGTAATGCATTGAACGAGCTGAACACCGGTTTTTATAGAATATACTAATAATGGAGTGTGGGACATAATCAGATCCACTAGAAGCTCTTCATTTCCCCTAATAAATTGTCATAGATGAATATAAGACTGCTATTCGAAGAAGTCTCTGTTAGTAAGACCGAATTGCAAAGAAACACAACGACTAACCACAGTATTCTGTAATAGACATCTGCAAGTATATCTTCTCGCTCTTCAGACAGACTTAAGTGGCTGACCAAATTCGCTATAAAGAGCCTTCTCATGAAACCATGTAAACGAGATACGATACCTATATTCGAGTGTCTTCTTGTGGTATTGAACTGTGGTAGGTGTACGAAATTATTCAGTTCAGATATTGGGTTCGTATTTTAAATTTAAAGCTCTACAAGCACTTATAATTCTGTTGTAAGTTTTGAAAAGGTGTAATCAAAATAACATGACTGAATTAGCTATCTAATCACCGATGTCTAAACGAATGGAAGGTTGAATGTTATCATTTAGTATTACTACATAGTTAAACACAGATATCGATACGAAGGGATACCAAAATATATATACACCACCCAAATAATTGAATTCGTGTTTGCTTGGGATACTACTGTTCGGATGCCTAAGATGAAGCAAATGATTTTGTCAAGAAGCCAATTACCGAGTCTTTATTCTAGAGGTTTAAGTAAAAATGCAGTAAGACAATCTTAAGAGATTCTATTGCATGGTAGTCAGTAACCAACACTATGTTCATGCGTCATTTGTTCTCTCAGCATCCTGGAGCCCATATGCACCATCGGTTTGGATTCAGGGTTTTCCTAACTCCCATAAGTAGATTCTGTTTACCCACAAACCCGGTTGAAGCGCTGGAGGCTTGCTTTTCGTAAACAGCATTCCCACTGAGAAGGCAGTGAGTAGGTCTTCTGTGGAAATGGCTATATATGTGTGGTCAACTGAGAGACATTTCCACAGAGAGAGAGAGCGAATTCTCCCCACTCTTGTCCGTATCAGGGCATTTGGGGTCAATGTCATCGATTCATTTAATGAGAACAATGGACGTTTAACCGTTGTGCCAAATATGAACTTGTTATCTTATGTTTAAAAGAGAGTCTGTCAGACTGAATCTATACTTTTTTGTAAATATGGTTTTTAACGTTTTCATTCGAACAGGTATCCTCAAAAGTAAATTGGATGAAATTAGAAGTTCATCTTAGCCCTATACATTAATTATTTATTATTCACAGCAGTTCATTGGAATAACTAGTCTAGTTAACTTCTCATAATCACGTACAACTCTTTCACGGTGTTAACATGAATGTCATACGAAAAGACTGTACTTTTTTTAAAAAAATCATACATTTCTAGTATAATTTAGATGAGTCATTGGTTCCTTTTGTAAAAACAATGATGATTCATTTTGTTTTGGTCAGTTTGTAAAAATTACCTATTTCACTGTTAAATTTATAACTTCTATGTTATGAATACCAAAGATAATTTGTTTTCAAAAGTATAATACCATAATAAAATACAAAAAAGAAAACATTCCCATTTATTGTTAGAATGTCTGTTATCCTTCAACTTGTCAAGTACACATTGAGCTTGGTCGACATGTCACCAGATTACAATGATAAACAATTAGTTTATTTTCATTCATTTACTATGGCGAGCATGAATAAAAAAACACTACCGCTTTATATTTTAGAAATTTCAGTCTTGCTAACAAAAAAAAACTCTCATGATATTTATTGTAGACTTTGAATATTAGTTATGAATTTGCAGTTGTTCTTTTTTGCCTGATTAGTGATTGTTAAAGGGGCTTTTTTTTTCTGAACACATACTTTGCCTAAAGCTTATTTTTCAAATTGATTCTAGCTATTTCTAGTTAGATTATTAAATTTTTATGGTAATTTCATAACCATTTGACAATAATAGATCTTTTTATTCATGAATGTTACTGGAAAACTTACTTTATTCATGTAAATAGTTATAGTAAATTACTATTACATGCAGCAAGAAAAAAGATTTGAGTAGAATAGATGAATTCATTCTATTTTGTTTAATTCATATCACAGCTGCCTATGACATGTAATATTTAAAAATCATCATTACACAATGGGCTCAAGTTACTTACATGTAAAAGTTTAGTTAGGAGATACTATGATCACACATCAGTGTGATATAAATAAATACGTAGATTAAATAAAATATTGTAAATATACATCTCTTATGTGATAGAACATTCTTCAAATGCCCTGGTAGGCCAAGAGTATGTAAACTTTGCTCTCTCTCTTTGGAAATGTCCCTCAGATGACCACACATATATATATAGATACTTCCACAGAAAACCTACTCCCTGCCTTCTCACAGACAGGATGTTGTTTACAAAGGCGAGTATCCGTCTCTTCAACCGGGTTTGTGGGTATACAGAATCTACTTATGGGAGTCGGGAAACCCTGAATCCAAACCGATGGTGCATAGAGGCTCCAGGATGCTGAGAGAACGAATGACGCATGAACATCTTGTTGGTCACTGACTACCATGGAATTGCATCTCTTAAGATTGTTTTACTGCATTTTTACTTAAACCTCTAGAATAAAGACTCGGTAATTGGCTTCTTGAGAAAATCATTTGCTTCAGTTTGGGAACCCGGATGGTAGTCAGTCAGTCAGTTACAACGTAGAACTTCGTACTTTCGTACATGATATAGAGATGTTTAGTAATCGCTCTATTTATGAATATTGATAGGCAATTGAAATAAGTGTTTAGTTTACACTGACTATTATTTTTAGGCATAACAATAGCAATAATTAGATTCACATTCAATGGGATCAGCCATTAAGAGCTAGACATAAGATTTGCACAATTGAAACGTGATAAATTATCAGATCTTTTGATGAGTTCGATTCTTAGATTATGTTATACTCTACATACTTTCTGAGGCCATTTTATACATTTCATATTTTTCATAACTATCTTTAAATCAACTTATATACTGTTAACTTATTATTTCACTTACTTAAAGGTGGATGATTCTTGTCGACTTGCTGGTACTTTACGCATTTATATCAATCTTATTAAACCGGTGAAAATGTCTTTAAGACGTACATTGGATATGTTTCCGTCAAGTGCAACATCATCACTCGAACAAAATAGTCCGACTGAATTGAATTCGAATGGAAATGGGAATGATAATAATGCTATACCAACACCACCACGTTTAGTTTCATTTTTCCTACCAAGAGGTACTTCAAAAGTAGTCTATATAACCAGGTAATTTCATTTTTTCTTTTATAAAAGTTATTCACACATAGAATTTTCTTGTCCTTGAAATATTTATTTTGGGGATTTATGGATATTTTTTCCCATTTTATTGTCAATATCAGGGAGTGATTTTAGTTGAATAGTCACTGAAAATCACGAAGCAATGGACAGTTGTTTCACTCTGATTTGACACCTCTTAGCAATGCATATCCATATTAAGTTAACCATAAGATCGAAAAATCTCCACCAACAGCTATCCTTATTAATCATGTACTCGCCACTGGTTAAATTCGAGAAGTAGTTCTTGAAGTTCTGGTGTGAGGCTTTGTTCAGTGGATTTCAATCATATAAAGCATGAGGATTTACCCACCAAGTATTTGGGTAGATTGTTGCACGTTGTTACAATTTAATTGAAGTTAAACATGTAAAAACTTTATGCTAGCTCAGTGGTCTAAATGTTCTCGCTCCTGAAAAAAGGTTCTGGGTTTGATCTCTAGTGATAAGGTCGTATAGGCTCACTACTGAGGAGTCCTATAACTGGATGAATCAGCTACTTAGTGTTTTCTGCTTTTCAGGGCTTGTTGAATCACTGGTGTTAACTGTGTAATTCAAAATTTCTTTGTATAACTTTGTTGAATGTCGTAGATCATCTGCAAAGTGAATAAAAACCTATCAATGACAAGACAGTTCTGTCTCTTTTGTATTATCGAAACTGTCCTTATACATATAGAGAAGCTTGAAATTTGGATACAAATGAAATTTATTTAATTTCCAAGTTATCGTTCTCCCTTCTCTTTCTTGTCTTCTCTCTTAATCTTTCACTTCTAAACAATTCAATTCTGGGGTGGTGGAGAAAATTCGTAGTTCAGGTAGATGATTATGATGGAGTTTCGTTCTCTGAGCCGGATGTTTTGGTAGTGGACTTTTCGCTGTTCTTCTGAAGAACATCATCAGCACAAAATTCAGGTAGAAGGGCAGTGTTCGAGTCTCTACATGTATGACTCGTAGCATGTCCTGTTGACACTGATCTTGATTTTTTTTGTCATTGACGTTCAACCTATCGTTGTTTGCCTCTTTATTTCGATTGTATCCTCCTTTGATCTGGCTCTTGATCTTATGCTTATTCATGATTTTTCTGATCGCAATAATTTTGATCTGCTTATTGATTGCCGATTGACCTGAGTGCCAAGCTTCTAAAATTTCTCTAGTATCCATTGTATTCCCTCTATCCAGTATTCCAACATTTTTCCAATCTAATATATGCTCATAGTTGTCCGTATGTATTAATATAAGGGAAGAAATGTCTCGGCGTTTTGGCTTCTAATTGATGTTTACGTAGATGAAGCTGAAGGGGATATCCACTTTATCCGATGTAATTTTAGTAGGTCTAACAGTTTATTTTGTAGATGATGTTCGGTTTTCTCCTTTTGTCATTTAGTCCCTTGGTTTAGATAGGATTGATCAAAGTGTGCTATACCTATTCCAATTGGTTTCAGTATGTGTTTTATATATGGCAGGGTGATTCGTTTGTTAAATTCTGTGCTTGATTTCACTTCTGTTGATGGTTTGAATTGATATTTCCTGATGAAGTTGCGTAGATAGCCGTTCTTTTGGAAGATAGTCATCAAATGTTTTTCGTCTTTTTCGGCTTCATGTGTGCTGCGATGTGTTTTCGCTCTCTTGAATAAAGTTTGTACACAGTTGATTTCGTGAGTTCTTGGGCTGTTGCTGCTGTAATTGAGAATTAAATCTGTGTGGGTTGGCTTTCGATATGCAACCAAAATAAATAGACAGACAACGACAGGTTGAAAGGCTATGACCAAATGATCGAAATCGAGGTCAACAGGACATGCTACGATTCATACGTGGAGAAACATGAATACTTCACTCCTACCTTCAGCTTGTGCTGATGACGTTGTTCAGAAAAACAGTGAAAACCCTACAACCAAACCATCCAGCTCAGAGAGCAAAAACTTACTTCTGTTTTCATATCCTTCTTGACTATACAGATCATTTCAGTTTCAACATTTTATCCTTATTACACAACACTGTGTAAGTGTTTCTTTCGTATTTCATTTTTTACACATATCATCACTTAATAATCTTAAAAGTACTTGTTATGGTATATTCTGATTGATAACATTGTCATCATTATTATACGTTCTCGCGCAAAACCAGTCTTTGGTTCAATTACCGGATTTAGGATCATATATATATATATATATATATATATATATATATATATATAAAGTTAGGTTTTTAAATGTCTTCATGCACTTAATATATATGGTAAATTATTTGCTTTCAATCAAAACTGATCATGTGTAAGTTAATTCAATTTTATTTCTAAAATTTTATTTTGGTTGACTTATCAATTAACTAAAACATATGGTGTTCACTGTTTAAAGGCCGAACAGCTGAAATTTTATATAAACATCATAAAGTCACTGGACTTTCATTTGTTTATTTGCAATTAGTTAATTGCATTTTCCAATTCTTCCTAAGAAAACAACTCGTATCGAATATCATCCGTTTATTGGTGAGAATTAACAAATGTTCAGACATACCTGAACGAATTCACTGACTTGTCAATCATAGGATAACGTAATACTACCTAGCTGCATACTGCCTGGTTGGGTTCCGCGTATTGCTCGTAATCAGTAGTTTGAGACTTTGAATTCTATAGCTCAAAATCGTTTACAATGATACAGGTGTATCCATTCTTTGTCTACCCCCAACTTTTAAGTGTCTGGTTTTCTCATGGTTTTTAGTTCTTATTCCACAGATCTATTTTTTCTTGAATCTTATCTTCAATCCCCAATCTTTTCCATTAATACTAATACTGTTACTACCTCTACTACTCTGAGATTTGGTCTAGGAATCCTGTCTCTCCGTGCTATTGGTGTACGACACCTTGAACTGACATATTATGTACCCAGTTCTACGTTGCAACTGACTGATTGTCTATCTACTGATCCTCATTAATTTGCCTCATCTCAATACACTCGACATTTGCCGATTAACAGGATAAAACGGAGAAAATGAGAGTAATAATGATTTCTTGTTTATTGGCAAGTTAAATATACACGGAAATGTAGTTTAGGAGAAATGAATAACGAATTGTGTAAGATAACAAAAATGCTGCAAGATTTAGAGGAAGAGATAGCAAGTGAATGCAATTATCGATTTTTAATTCTATCATTTAGACTCTTTAACCATGAGTTACAACTAAAATACCAGCTTCATCTAGAAGGATTAAATCTTTCCATAATTTAGATTTAAAGCACAGTCAGGTTGTACCTCTTCATTTTTTCTCTATTTGAATGACCTTCATGGTCTCCCACAATATCCGAGTGTTCTGTATGCCTATGTTAATTGTTTCCATGGTTGTCAAAAGGGGGTCTCTACCTCGTGATTTCCGAAGAATCTTGGCATTCATCCTGAAGCATTGTAACTCTTCTAAATGAAAATTCATCAACACTCAGGACAAAATTTGACTGACTGAAGTGATGTTTTTCTGGTTAGTATTATTTTAGCAAGATTGTTTCCTACAGAATGAAGTTGTTAAACACATGTCAAACCCTCCACCTTCCTCTGGGCTTTTGATCGGCTGTAACTCTAGGAAAGTTCCAAGCAGAGTCATACCAGACTTATATCTATGGTTCTCACAAAACAAGCAAACACACATGACTATGCAAAAAGGATCTTTTATAGTTTGGTGAAGCACAGATAATTAGGAAAGAGAAACGGATTTATGTTCACATACTTGCAAACACGAACTGTGTAGATTGAAATGACGCAGTCTAATCATTTACTTATTCATTATGGCGTTGCTATGATCAGTTGAAAGGAGGACATCCTCGAAAATATTCGGAGACAACGGGTTGAAGTTTATGGGAGCAGTCACTGAATTAAGTCAGTTCGTACAACAATGGAACCAACTGAAGATAAATGATAAATTAGCCCCAATGTAGATTCAGTAACACTTTAACCTACCACTGTTTAGCCACAAAGATAGAGCATGAGAAATAATCAGTGGTTCTATGCGTCGAATGTTATACACCTGATCACCAAGGAACAAACTTTGAACAATGAAACTTTGGATGCTTATGTCATGGAAGTGTAAAGATTATCGAACGCTCATCCCTTAACTTTTTCTTTATCATAGAATGATTTTGCTTATTTTTAAACTTTCTTTGGTTTCAGCATTCAATTTTTCTTATTCTTGACTGAAATCTCATAAAAATCTTCATAAAATTATATTCTGCCTAGGAAAGATAAATCTTGACTGGTTTAACTATAAATTCATTAAGTTTACTTTCAATACTATTTAATTTTCACAATTTTCTTATTGACAATGCATTCTCAAAAAAGAAAACAGTTATGTTGTAATTGTGTACAATTCAACTTCTTTCAATACATAAAAGGGTGTAATTTGTAGATAATAAATAAATTAATAATTCATAATAAACTCTTGATTACTGTTGCAACTGTTTCAGAAATTTAATTAATAGTTAAGGAGACATTTGGTATAAAATGTTAAAATGGTTTTTATGCGTATACTGTTTATAATTGCTGTTGAATTCTATTATTTCAAACAAATGTGAATTAGTTGAACAGCTTGAAGATCATTTGTTCGACTCATCATAGTTGTATTATTGATGAGCATGGATTAGGTATCTCATATTATAACAAGTCTAACTTTCTAATGCTTCCCCCTGTTTTGAGTGATTGTCTAATGTAAACTATCAATACATTGATTCATTAATTGTGTTTATTTCAGCTCTACAACTTCAGCTAATGCTATTCAATCGTTGTTAGATCGATTTCATATACAAGAATCTGCTCGTAAATTTGCCTTGTACGAACATACTTTGGAGAATAGTTCAAGTGAGTTGATTCGTTTTCCGGTCTATAAACTTTTTATTTTATTTTATTTTATGATGTATTTCGAAAGATCAAAATCTAATTCCAATTCGCCTTTTACTTTTCCAGTATTTTCTCTATAAGCTCTGCCAAAAATTTGTTTCATTTTGAGTTGCTTTTACCTCTACAAGACGAGAAATAAGTAAGAGGAAATAATATTAGTTACAATGAAAAAAAGTTGAAAATGGAAAATTCAAGTTGAAAGTGTAAATCATTCTATTCTTCTGGCTTAGTGGCTAAATGTGTATGTTTTTAATTATGACTAGCAGTGGAACCCCACGACCCAAGTTTGATTGCATTTGAGTCATACTAGCTGGAATTTTGACTGTATCTCAGGCCCAGTTGAACCCTCGAACCAGGTACTAATCACTTCCAATCATATGGAGGTTACTTAATAAACTACAGAGTCCCAATAAGTATGATTTTTATTTGCAGGCAGTTTGTATTACACCATTATCATACTATTTCAACAAATTATTGGGTGTCTGATCTCATTAGTTTGGTGAGTAATGAATTCACGTTTTAAGGAATTAAGTATTGATTTGTAGTCTCAGTGTGAGAACCACTTCTGAAACATAGGTATATCCAGTTGACGAGTTCCGAATTGGACAAGATATACTACGTACATTGCACTACTAACCAAAATCAAAAGTGTATTAAAACTTTTTACAAAATGATTATATCGAGACAATTCAACCAGGATTCACACATATTCTAACAAAATCTGATAAGAATGTAGTCTTGAATATTAACAAACAGGTTCGAAATTATGCTACATTCCAGTCATAATTACCGGTTTATTTGATAGTATATTTAATCGTAGAAAAAACAGACAATGACAAAATGATAAGTCCCGTGTGAATATCGAAAACCTATACATTGCACTCATTGGTATTAGTTTAAATAAATTTGTCATCCTCTCAGCTCTTTATACTACACTTTACCTATATTACAATGTGATATTATATTGTTGCTGAATTCATATACTTTAACTGATTAAATGTTTAAGCATTCCTAGATTTCATATTCGCTTGATAGAATCCTGAAACTTATCTGCAGTTGACTTATTGCTTATACTTCTAATTTAAATGGAAGATGAATTTCCATCAAGTCTTACCTATGTATTACTGATGATTACCTACTCAGTGCACTGTGCTGTGTTATGCTCTACCTGTTTAAATCACATTTCAAGCTCTTGAACTAGGTTCGTTGTTTGTGGAACTGTGTTGTCTGAACTAACCATCTCAGAGAATGCAACTCGGTCAAGGTCATTGCATTGTGAGAGATGATGAAAATCTGAAGCTCAGATGAATGATTTTTGTGGAGTTTCGTTCTCTAAGCTGGTTGGATGGTTTGGTCATAGAGCTGTCGTTGTTCTTTTAAATAACATCGTCAGCACAAACTTCAAGTAGAAGTAAGATATTCAAATTTCTTTACATACAACTAATACTTGTCCTGGTTATTGTTGACAATCAAAATAAACGTGGACAGTAAAATAGATTTAAACATCGAAAATAACCAATCAAGACCCGAGTTAATAGGAAAAGTGTTAACCATGTGTGAAGACATTTGAATATCTTGCCTCTACTTGAAGTTCATGCTGAAGATGTTGTTCAAAAGAACAATGAAAGTATCACACTTGAACCATCCAACTCAAAGAACAAAACTAGCTAAATCATTATATTGTTGAATTTCATTGAAAATATGAACCGATCTAAGTTAAACCCACTATTAAAAACCTGGCAGCAGTGGGCGGCCGATTCTTCCTAGTATAGGACTCTTAGGCAGTGTTCACTTACGATCCTGTACTCGGGAATCCAACCCAGGACCTCCGAACTCGCGACCATAACTATAGATTGGTTAATCATTTGAATTTTCAGGTTTATACGTACATAAAAGTTAGGCGATACTACACTGTCCATTTCTTTTTTACTTTTCAAAAACTTCATCACAAATAACCATTAAAATATCTTTGTACAAAATAAATTTCAGCTTTATGTATATCAGATATTGTATTACATAAGAGAAATATAATCAATATTTCTAAATGTTTTTTTTATTTCTAATTGCATATATTTTTCCATTTTGTTAAATTTTTCTAGTAAGTGCTCGAAAACTTTCTACAACTGAATGTCCTCTTTTATTATTATTAAACTGGGTACGTATAAGTACAAATCGTGAACAATTCTTAGAGTTATTAAAACAAAAACGTATTGTACTACAAGAAAATGATGCTTGTGATATTGAAGTAAGTGGTTTATTTTGTTATTCCAATCGATTCAATTCTTGACATAAACCTTTAAAAAAAAATTTGAATCATGACTTCTTTGATGAAGTTTCATTCTCTCAGCTGGATGGTGTAATCATGAAACTTCCATTATTATTTTGAACAATTTTATCAACACAAACTTCAGATAAGAGTTCAGAGGAATAATGAAGGATTCACAATTAAATTATTCAGCTTAAAGAATGACACTTCACTGAAAATCATCTCCCTGAGTTGCAAGTCTACAATTATCATTTGCTTCAATCTACTAACCTTGAATTCTCGATTACTAGGCTACCGATTCCAATCTTGCTCGATTTGCTTAAATCTCACTAAATTAATAATCTTATTGACTTAAACGAAAACTAAGTCTATGAAACTTCTTCCATTTCCTATTATTCTAGTCTATGCTCTTAATAGTTAGATAGGTTTCTTGTTGATAAAACTGATCCTTTCAAGTGACTAATAACAATTAACAGATAGTAATTCTGTAATTACCTAATAAATAACCACATGGTATCCAAATAACATGTACCACAATATTGTATCATTCCGCTTAATGGCTATTTTGCATCAACACGTTATAAAATTAATCAAACGTTATTAATCATTATTCAGTGATCAGTTGCTTTTAAATATTCAGATTAATTGTAATCTATATTTTTGAATAAAATTGATGATTTTTCCATTTTTATTTTAAATGACCATTTATTGTGTGATAGGAAAGTTTGTCAGTTCCGATTGATCATGAGCTTTCTCATTTAGTTAAATAGTATAATTGTGAAATTTTCTTTATTGTTCTACATTAGATCACCAGTCCCTACTGTAAGCACAGAGAACAAAGTTGTTCCACAAATATTAAATTATTCTTAATTCTCAGAAAAAGTATATCAGCTAGGTTTATGAATTATTACTAGAGTTCTGTAGTCTCTTAGCTTTGAATACAGCTTATGTGTAATGAATTGTGATAGTATAAACAATTCCATTAAAGTTCCTATTCATCTGTTTATATATCTAGCAGTCATTGACTATTATATGCATATAAGACCATAGATCTATTTGTTAGTGTAATTTCCTTTTCTTTTCTTTGTTTTTTTTTCAGTGGAAAGATTTTACAACAGCAGAATTAACAAATTTCTTACGTATACTTGATAAAGAAGAATGTGAATATCGTAATGCTATTTTATATCAATATAGTTTATTGCGTAATCAATTAGAACAACGTATGAAACAATTAGTAATTACCAATCATGTTCATCATCACCATCCTCATCATCCTCATCATCATCATCATTCTGATCTTCATAATATGAATGAATCCAATGAAGTTGTTATTGGTGGTGATGACAATAATACTGCTGCTACTACTACTACTACCGCCACAAATGAACCTATGTATTCAAGATACTATTCACATTCACATCCATATGCATTTGAACAAACTGTTGAAGATAATCATTCACCCATTGAACATTGTGATTGCCGTTGTTCACATTAACTCGTACTGCTGCGTGTGTGTGTCTGTGTGTATGTGATCATTTATGTGCACTTGTGGATTAATGAGAATTACAGTTTGAAAAAAGAAACTAACATCAACCGTAACATTAGATTCAGTATTTTTATTCATTCTATATTCTCTATCCTATCCTTTATGCTTTAATGCCTCTCCCCTCACTGGAACTATTGAAACTTTCTAAAATTAGTACTATCAACACAACAACTACTACTGCTGATTTTGCTAACTGATCAACTGTGTGTACTGTTAGTACTTACTAGTAGTAGATATCCCTATTTATTTATGATTGTTGTAGCTTTCACTTATTCAAGCTGCTTTTTTAAATAGTTTATCTTTTTGTGTGTGTAAGTGATTTGTGTTGCTTTATCTCTTTCCACTTCTTATGTATTTCTAATTTAATTTGAATTAGTTTTGAGTGTATTCTTCTATTTCTCTGAGTGTGTGTGTGTGGTTGATTGAAGTTTTACACTGGTGTTTCTTTATAATTCTATGGATTATGTTCAATGTGTATAATGGTGACTAGTCGTGTCCTTGACCTTGACCCGGATTCGTCGTCGTGACTTTTTTGGACTACTATTCAAATTGGTGCTTGTTACTATTCAAATTATATCATTATTATTGTTATGAGTAATTAGAGATTGTAAATAATTTAGCTTTCTTAGTTTCTTTCATAATTTCATTGTTCTTCTCTCCCTGTGAAAACATTTCCAATGCGGAGGACATTTAATATCCGTTTGATTTTTAGTTTTCAGAACAAAAAAATGCACATCATAATGTGCTTCTTTACATATTTGTCTGTTCGTGTATGCATTTTTTCCACTGACATAAAAATAAGCGATAAGTTTTCTGATATATTTTGTAAACTGACGAATCATGCTTGTAAGTAAGTAGTATATGCGTGAATCCTTCATACATTAGTTTTATCTTGTTTATTAATTACTAACTTATATTGCAGGTTGAAATTCACAAACATAAGCATTTCAAATATGTCCAATCCCTTCCTTTTTTTTCAATGGGAAAAGAATAATATTGCACCCATTATAAATGCATACATCTTCCTTCATATGTCACTGGCTTCATCTTGTCCCCCTCTTCTTGAGAATATATTGAAATTTTTATTTGTTTGTTGTGTTGAAATTCTGTTTTATTTCTTGATTCCATCTTGAAAAAAATTTCTAGGAAGCAAATAAATCTTTCATGAGACAAGTATTTCTTTCTGAATATTTCTATGATAAAATGTGATTTTCAATGTTTTTACACTTGGGATATATGATTCGTTGATAATCGACAGAAGCACTCAAAAACTATCTTCACTTTATTTTAGAATTCTTTAATCTATAAACATTTGATCATTGATATCATCAACTTAGATAACCGTTTATACATTCGAGTATCATGACCTTTAATTAAGTGAACATCGAAAATCTGTCTGTTAATTGAACATCTATAAACTTAACTATTATACATCAAAATAAGATTTAAATAAGATTGTGTTTTACCTTAATAAATGTCTAATATATGTGATTATAGATTAAAAGAACGTTTATTAAACAGCTACTGTGGCTAACAGTTATGTTAACATTTTATATTCATCTCATCTGCTGAGGCAACTTGAGCCAGTGTACGTTTGTATTAGAGTCTACAATGATTATAACTAACAAAATAATTCTAGTTGTAGATTTTAATACTGATTATTGTACATTGAAATCATCAATCAATCATTGTTAGGCCACCATTAGAAACTTGGAAGCACTGGACGGCCGTTTCGTCCTGGTATGGGATTCATCAGTTGTGCGCATCCACGACTCCTGCACCTCGCAAGATTCGAACCCGGGACCTTCGGTTTTGTGCGCGGACGCCTAACCTCTGTATATCTAAATTATTTTATTATAACTAATGAAAATATGTGAATGTTTAAACTGATTTAAGAGGAGATAGTATTGTGAATAATTATTATAGTAGTCTATAACTATAAGAAGTTTGTAAATATTGTTACATTTCATAATTTACATCACAAACTAATCCTGATTAGACAACTAGTGAAAATTAAGAAGCACTGACTAGCTATTTAGTCCTAGTATGTAACTCTTCAGCAATACTGAATCCACGACTCAATCAGCAGTGGAACTTAGGACTTTCGAATCTTACTGAGAAACCTCAACTCTTTAAGAGCTGGGTTGGGATTCAGTGGTTTACATGCACGGCTTCAATTAAATTGCAAAATTGCACAACTGTTTCTTTAATTCTATGGGTAATTTTCATTTCTATATAAACTATGAAAGTGTAATGTTATCTAATTAAACCTTTATTTTAGCAACTCAATTATTAAAAATATTAGATTTTAAAAAAGCTGTTTCTAATAATCATTATTATTTATAAAACTATTGTTAACAACATAAACTATTTAAGTACGTTCAATAAGAATGGTCAGTCAAAATAATTAATCTCATACAAACTTTGATATGATAAGTTATCTAGACAATAAAATATACAATGAAATAGTACGATAAATTGAGAAAAAACAGACTCATTGAAATTGTTCATCTACAATTTTTTTTTCATTTAAATCTCTATTCATAAATCATATTTTTCATATGCAGAATGTATGAATTAGCTCATAAATTAATAATGTTTCAAGTTTTTTGTTAATGTCACTAATTACTACTTACACTATTATTATATAATGTATACTTATAAACTAATTATTTGTTCGTTTTTTTACATGAAAAATTGATCAGAAATTTAATTTTTTTTGTAATTATTTCTTATCATCAAGTGTTTTTAGTGAGAATTTATTACATAATTTTTAAGTGTTAGTAGATAGAACGATCAAATGAATTCTATTTTTTAAACAAAAGGTGAATATGTTGGAAAAAAGAAAACTGTAACATAATAGACATTTCATCATAACCATTTTTCTACAAGTTAAAAAAAGCTATTATAAGCAAAATCATTAATTTTGTGTTGTACGACAGGATGCATTTTTTAAAAGAAAACATGATATAATATAATTCGTTAAAAAGAATTTGCGGAAAGTACAACTACAACTTGCATGTTTCAATAATTTTTTTTTAGTTTATCGTACTAATGTTAATAAAATGAACTTTTAAGAAAAACAAATGGATTGAAGTCAAAATTAATTTCTTAAAAGCTTGGTCATTTAAAGTCGAACGATAGTTTGTGCTATTGAATGAAATTGATTAGATTGATTTTCAAGAATCACTAAAAGTTAATGACAATGGAATCTTCTACTACACTATCATCGTTTATTTTTCATTTAAGAAACTAAACTCATCTGTACATATTTACTAAATATTCAGTAACTTTTGCACTTGGTAGACATAGTTCAATTACTTGGATTTTAAAATTTTTGTTTTCCTGTTTGATCACTCTTTTTTTACTTAGATGTCTAATGTTTATTGGGGTATCTAGAGTATTTTTCATTGAACTGTTGGTTTATGGCATCACATTCCATTTCATTTTTGGTTTATGTAGTTGGATAGAATGACTAGCATTGATAGACAGATTAGAGATTAAACTCATCTCAAAACTAAATTTATTCACTGAGTCTGACTTCTAACTGCTAAAATTTCTCCAGTAAATATAATTTGTAGTTCAAAGTCAGTTACTAACGGTGATTACAAATCTTTTGTTTTAAAAATTCAGAGACAGTACGCTGTTTTCGTTTTCTGAGTTGTCGAAATCAGTTTCTTACTTGGTTAACAAAAATTAGATAAGTTTTCAATCATTAATATATTATGGTTCCAGAAAATAAATTTCACTGACACATCATTTCAATGTTTACATTTCAGAGAAATTGATGAAAATTATCACACTACTTATAAGTAAACACTTTATAATTAGAAAAGTTTTTTATTGATATTTCACCATCAGTTGCTAATTGTAGATATAATGAAAGTAAATATCTTCAATTGAATAAAATTAAAAAAATTCTGTTATAAGTTGGCATAAAACAATTGTATCTTTAAATAAACAACAAAAATGGTCCCATGGTTAAACTGTTAAGGAATCAAATGTAAACTAATAATAATAGTAATCATTCAATAAACAACTTTAGTTATTTAAATTATGAATAGTAAGTAATTATCAGACAGTGGTAGATTATATATAATCCGAAGTTCTTATTCCATCTCAATTCACACTGACTTTCTTCATATGAATTCAACAACTCATTGATTCAACTAAAAAACGAATATAAAAATTCCTACAGTATTTTTCCTTTAATTTCCGGAGAAAATCTAATCTATGTTGAATAAGGATCATAACGTTTTCAATAAATTTCAAAGATGTATTATAAAAGATATTTCATGTGAAATATTTAAATAAATCTTTATTTGCATGTCGAAATTCATGGAAGTCATTAAATATTGAACAATTAATTGTCTATTTTTGTTAGACGGAGCATGTCGATATTTCGTTATTAAAAATTGTTACAACTATTTTCATAATTGTGCAGTTATGGAGATCAGTGTTATTATACATTGAAATCATCGATCAGGCATTGTTAGATGAGCATTAGAAACCTGGTATCACTGGACAGCCGTTTCTTCATGGTATGGGACTCATCAGCAGTATGCATCCACAACTTCTGCTACTCTCAGGATTCGATATGTTCACTAGTAATTAGCTTCGTAAGGAAGTTCTGGGAATTCTAGTGAGAAGACATAACTAGTGGAGTTCAACCTTGTCGTGTGTAGGCAGCAACTACCGAAGACAAATGGGTGAAGTCGCGCAAAATCCCCAAATTGATCAGAGTTAGATATTAACATCATTGGACGCCAGTCCCGTGATCCAGAGGTTAGGGATTCGATAGCAAGACCGAAGGTCCTCGGTTTGAATCCTGCAACTAGCAGGAGTCATGGCTGCACACTGCCTATCAGTTCCATACCAGTACAATGCGGCCGTCCAGTGCTTTCAGGTTTCTAATGGTGGTCTAACAATGATTGATTGATGATTTTTATGTGTATTAACAGAAAAGAACAATGGTCTTTTTTTCCAATATGTTTTTGTTTTTAATCCTGATTTAATAGCTGATTGTATTTCATATAAGTAACCATGAATTATTATTGGACACTTTAATAATTTGTTTAGTTTAAGGCGGAATTTTATTTTTCAAGATATTTTAAATTTATTTGATACAAAAGAGTTTAAAGTTTATTTTTGAAATGATAATAAATTCATATCATCATTTTTGTAATTTCATTAGGATATTATCAATTATAATATTTTATCCTCGCTTTTCACTGATTAGTCACCTAATTTGAAAAATTGAATTTCATCAACTCGATTTCACTACGCAGCTTAGTGAAGGTTAGGAGTGATCAGATAATTCCTCAATTTTATTAAATGAAATAAAATAATACACTCTTGATCGAACTTAGTTTTTTTGGGTTCAATGCGTGATACTAAGAATTCATACTACCTGTGAGTCTTATTTTTTTGCGCTGATTCACATTAGCCTTTGTTGGTAGTATGAACCCATAATGTAAATCAACTTCAAAGATACGTCTCTACTTAATGCTGATTTCTTTAACTGACATGAAATGATTTTATTTTACAATCAAAACATACCACTCAATATTTAAAAATTTTATGGTTTCTTTTATTAGTGATCAGAGTTTGTCATGGAAACTATATTCGATAATTATTCGTTAGAATCATTCACTTGCAAATTTGAGATTAGTTATTGTCATCATGTTGAATTGCTGAAGTTCATTGAATTTTATTCGCATTAAGTGAGTAGATATTTTTTTGTACTGAATCTGACAGAATCCCGAAACCTGATATTTTCTATTCATTGTTTGCCAGCAAAGTATATTTTCACTTTCCGAAAACAAAGATGTTTCCTTAGGAATTCGAACTAGCCACTTAAAACTCACTAGTAAATACAACATCACTGATCACGAACCAATGATTAGTTCGGACAATATAGATAATTGACAATGATGGAAAATGTAACAGGATTTCAAGACGTATGATATATAAATCACTAACAATGCACTTGTAATCTTCGTTACAATATATAAACCAGTTACAAACTAATCGATTCAAAAACAGATCACTGCAATCAGAAATCAGGCTTAATAGTACAACTATGTGTATTCTCCTAATAGCAAAACGTCTACATGGTAAAATCTGATAAAACTTAGAATAAGACTAGTTCGCTAAACTATTTTCTGTAGTCAGAAAGTTGTTTTCATAACTGTCTCATTTTATTGAAAAACATTTATAAACAGACATGTAAATCTGAGTACTAACAAGTGTTCGTTGCGTTGATGCGAATTGATCAGGAGATAAGTTTAATATTTAACTAAATAGATTATTTGAAAAGAGACAGAAAACTTGATGGGAATATCTTATTTAATACGATGAGACTGTTGTAGCATGTAAGTTAGATTGTATAGCTTTCATTGTTGTCCTGAACAATATCATCAAAGCATGGTTTATGTTGAAGTGAGCTTTTTAGTTATTACACGAGCGTTAAATTTCTTCATTCTGATTATCTTGTTTGAAATCAGCTATTATAAGAGGTTTCCTTATTTTCATGTGGTCTTGCAGTGTTGTTGATGAATTGTTTATAGCTAACCTGCAGCAATCTGACTGATTGACAACTTCCGTATTGATTGATAGATAAGATCTATGTCGATGTGTATTTTGACTGCTGATTGATAAGTATTGACATTTCTATTGCCTACTTTTTCAACTAAAACAGTGATATATCAGCTACATGCGATTGTATATGGCACGTTAATTTAATGTTATTTGTATAGATTTTATGTTAAGTAATCAGTAAGTTTTTCACTTAAATTCTCAAATTAAAACGGCATATATTTGTTCAACGTTTTTTTAATTGACATTAGTCCTGGAATAAAACCTCTGTTCAATAATGTTGAAAATAATAATAATAATAATCCCTTCATAGAGCAGAGATACTGACTGTGCCTAGATGTTTAGTTGATTACTTGGATTGATGGAAATAATGTTGCTCAATCTTAATTGCTCATTGAAAACAAGATTAACAACGAAATACTTCTTTGTACGAACAGAGATCAAAAGTTTGAACAAATGATCAGCAGAATGGTGGTTTTTACCCAGTAAAATGATATACAGATTTAAAGAATGAAATTCAAAAATAAAAAAGATTAAAGGTCACTTTACAAACAAAAGTAAGCAGAGAAGACTGAATTTATTGATCATTTACAACCCAATGAAATTTTCATCGACCTATCAGGCCTAATTCATAACACAGCATTTCAAGTTTAGATCTTATTTATTGAATTCAATTTTAAAAATTAACTATCACAGACGAGTACTTTAGCATGAATCAAACACTGTCGTTATGATCTACTGTTATCAAGTGAAAAAATATTAATCTAACTGAATAAAAGGTGTTGGGGACTTTAGATCCCCTGAACTAGCTTGATAAATATCTTAATTTTGTATTTTATTCATAGGCTGATCAGATGACCTTCAGGTCACATTTCCCACCAGGAAAAGCCTTGGCTGTGATTAGTTACAGTGTTATTTTAGTAAGCTATTTTTGTGACTATCCCAAGGACGTTTCTCTGATATATAAATAAACGCGATCTGTGTGCTTGAATTCATTGTGCTTGTTAGGTGCTTTTAGAATGAACTTTCTACGCTATATCAAGAATTTTTCGTTATTTCCTTTGGGTCAACAGATCAGAGTAGCCGACCCGGACACTGGTTCACTGTCTCGTTCTCGTTTATCAACTAAGGCGAACCCGTAATAGTTTCAAGTATATCAGGTGACGAGCATAACAGAAAGTTTATATTGTATGTTGTACTACAAAAGCTTTTGTTATTAATTTTTAAAGACTGATTGAAATAGTCCCAATATTTATCGATTAAACATTTTCACTTCAAATTGAATTTAAAATGTTTTAAATCAGAAGAATTATCCTTAAAATATTTATTTTATTTATAACAGATTATGAAAAAATTTTGTTTAGGTTAATATTTATAACAAAATTTAAAAACAGTATTTTTTTTTAGAAAAAAAACTCCACTCATATTGGTCAATGTGAATGGTTACAATATTTAAATGAGAACCAATGATACTGGAAAATGAGAATAAACTTAAACTTTGTTCAATGTTTCAAACATCAATTGTGTTTCGTTTTGTTGTTCAATCACGTGTAAAAGTTATTGCACATGCGATAAAAGTGTATAAATAAAAATAAAAATGAATGAGAATGATCCATCGAGAGAGAGAGAGAAAAAAAAGAGAAAAAAACCAAGGAGAAGAAATGCAAATGACAATTTTTATTTAAAAAATATCAAATCATACATCATAAGTCATTATGTATCTACAAATGATGTGTAGTTGTGTTGAATTTTATGATAAAAAAAAAACAAAGTGATTAATGATTATTGAGAAAATGAGTAGATTGTTATAACAGTGAACATATAGATGTATATGTGTTATTACTCTGATGATATAAGTAGTAAATCAGTGCCACAATGAATTTCATGCTTGATTTGATTTCATTCATTGACACATCAAAATATAATAAACTTTAATGAATTTCAAAAACAAGCTGGCATCATTAAAAAATATAACTGAATGGTCATAGTATATTAAGTGTTTATATATAAAATGTATTTTGCTGTCAATTAAAGTATTTCTTTTTTCACTAAAATTGATTTCTTTTGAAGCACTATTGAACTGATAACACCATATTATTATTTTAACAAGAATAGTATAGATGATGAGGTAGAAATTCGTAAGAAAACAACAGATAAATTAAAAATAAGAATATTGTTTACTAGATATTCTTCGAATAAAAACAAACCGTAATCAATTTGTGTATTGAATTCAGTTACACACATGATATTCTTCAGTTTTCACACATGTTTGACATTCAACACGACAACACCAGTTGAATTGACAATGGCATTTTTCACGAACTTCACGTAATTGTGGTTGTGAACCACGATTACAACACAGTGTAGTACAACTTGCTTGATCTGTACTATTAGGCAAACATTCACGACCTCTTGTACCTGAAGTTTGAGTAATTGGATCATATTCACAATAGTTTGATGATTCGTCTAGATATGTAATATGATCTGGTGTGACACGATGTAATTGTCTGCTAGCTCGGCGTAGTCTTGTTCCACGTCTGTTGAATTTAACCTGAAATTTTAATCATAAAAATTTTCATATATATATATATATATATATATATATATATATATATATATAGATTTGAAATATACTAATAATTAAATTTATCTTAATAGCTAATAATATTTAAATGGTGATTTCGGGAGGAAAACTTCAGTCAGAACTACTTTCACAAATTAGAATTAGAATACTACTCAAGTAATTACTTTTTAAGAAAAATCGAGTCAGTTAACATTATTATTTAGAACAAACAACTAAAAAATGGTTTATGAGTTAAATCAATAGTGAAATAATTCACTTCACTTTTCCAAATCAGATTCTAGTCATTTTAACTAACATGAAATGAGATCTATTTTATCCTAATACTACTACTACTACTTGGTACGATTGTGTGATCACTGAGAAATATAAATTAACAAGAAATCAATGTCTAAAGCTTTCCTGAGGACCATTTCCAAACCATCATGTCGTACTCGTCTTTTCAAGGCATATCAATGATAATTGCCTCGAATTGACTTTTTGGAGCATCACATTCCCCTGTCTAAGCATCATGGGTACATAGGTGTCATTAATAGCTACTTGGTTTGTTAAATTTTCAACATGATAATATATTAAAAACAACAGTTTTTGTCATAATGAAATTCATCAGTATACACAATCAAATAAAGAGAATACAGTGTGATTTTCAGATACGCTCCCATTTTTAATTACTTAATAATTAGAGCAATATTAGAGTAAAATTTTACTGTTTGCTCATAACAGCTAGTTGCTTGATGGTAGTTAATGTTGAAATCGAATCTTTGTTACTGAATGAATCTTTTTATCATGTTGTTCACTCTCAAAACTAGGCTGGTTCGAAATCATCAAACAACTTTCTGTATTCATTAATAAGGTCTCCAATAATAATAATAATAATGATAATAATAATAATAGGTTTTTCTTCGAAGTTATGAATTTTATTGCAATACAGAATTTACTGCATTAAATGTTCAATATCATAGAACATTTCTATATAACATGTATTCAATTTGCATCAGTTCAAATAATTTAGCTCTATCAATATTTTTATCAGTAAATATCTGTCATTCAATTTCGTATAGGTTTGTCTGCTATGAATACATTTTCACACTTGTAATATGATAAGATTGATGAATGTCATTTTTATAATCGACAAGAAAGAAACATTTCGAGAAACGAAATTTTTGTAAGGCTTTTTAAAAAGCCACATTAGTGAACACAGGTAACACGTATAATAATTACTCAATAAAAGTGATTCAGAAACAAGAAGGTTAATGGAAGTGTTTAGACAGTTCGATAAATTAGATCCTTCAAATGTTTGCGCATGTCACCTATAGAAACTTTAATGAGTTTTCTGCTAAATTAATATTCATAATTTTCAATGTCACCATCAAAAAGTCTTGATATTTATTGATTTATTTCACTGTTCAACTGGAAAAGATAATTTTTTTTTTATATTTCAATTTCAAGGTGACCTGTGTTCTACAAATTTTTCACTTATAAGAGTTTGAACTGCACTCACTAACCAAATCGAATGGAAAATGTAGTCATTGAATTGTCTGACTGAACTAAGCAAATATCAGTTACCAAAGGAGTATAAGTTTCAGTTAGTTTTTAAATGTTTTTTTTCTGTAAAAAAAAGTTTGGATTTAGTGATTTTGAATTTTTCTAAATAAAATTCACAGATTCTACAATACAAGAAGAAGATATATTTTTTGTTAAGCTTGAACTTCTCATATTATTAATTAATTGATACCATCGTTTTCAGTGTAATAACCGATGCCAGTTCAGAACTGTTTGTTGAAAGGTAGTATGCATAAAGATATGTACTTATTAGTGATAATGAATGATTCTTGATAATCTCCCAATCATTGTATTCTTAAGTGAAATACTTGGAGTGAAATCCAACAGTCTTAAGTTTGACAAATAACAATTCAAGAAGATAGAACTATCAGAAAATCGAAATGATCGACTCATTAAATAGACCTGTATGTAATAAATTGTCTCTCTCACAAGAATGAATCTCAGTATAAAACTAGAGTAGGGAAGCTAGTCAGCTTTATGATTCTTGTGACAAAGAGCGGATAGCTTACATGTTTATCCAACAATTAGATCGCATTATTTATAACAAGCATCTTTTAGCTCAATGGTTCGAATACATTTCTATTTTCATCAGCAATTCGTACACAAAACCATATATGATCATAAATGATAGTCTGTTCATGTTATTGTCTGCTTATATTCGTCTAAATTTCTGTTTATTGTGTTACATGTTTCTGTTTTCTGATACACCAATACATACATGAAGCACACATAATAGTTAATTATACACTGTAAGATTATTATTTATGCTTGCATGTATTGTTGTACAGCCTGGTTATTATCACTTAACCATTTTACTCCGTCTTCTTTCTCTTTCTTTTTGTGTGTCTACGATTGAAAATCAGCGGAATACCATGACAAATAGAGTGCGATGGTAAAAGTTATCAGCATAGAACTTTGTGAATGAAAAAATAAAAATCTAATCATGCCATTGTTATTCTTATAATAATAATAATGATAGTTTGGCTTCGATAATGTTATTACTATTATTATTATTACTATTGTTACCACTGATGAACACAATGATAACAACGAAAAAATGGCGGCTACAAATACTACTGAGACAACTTATATACATCTATATATTTCAGATGATTATTATTATTATTGCTATTATTTATGTATGTAGTGAACAGTTGGCTAACAAATAATATGCATATCAAGTAACTTTCTAGTTGGTTCTTATTTTTTTCACCCTGCCTTTACAAATTCGAATGTGTACAGATTGTGTTCATGTCAAAAATTTCAATTTTTTTTTGTACACCACATATCGGTTTATCGCTTTACTTATCACCTCTTGCTTCGCCTTCTCCTCTTTCTCCCCTCCTCCTCCTCATATTCATTATCCTCAAGTTTCTTATTAGATCATGACAAGAACAACCATGTTAAATGTCTCTATTCGACATATTATTTTAGTTATTGGTGTATAGTTTGTTTTACTACGAAACATAATCTTAGTTTTACAAATGTATATATATATATATATATATATATATATATATATATATATATTGTAGATGTCTTGTTGTCTTTGTCTCATAACATTCCAACTTCTACTACAAGTAGTAGATTTGATTTTGTCGACGGTACATGACAAAGTATATATATATATATCAAAAAATAGCTCATGGTAAATATCTGGAAATTCAAAAAAACACAACCAGCCTATATTCTATGCAAGAAACAATTGATGAGAACGAAGGCTGAATAAGCAACCAACCAAACTAGAACTAGAAGCAACACATGAAACTTTAATGAAAAAAAATAAACTGAATGAATGAATGAATGAGAACTCGTGTACATGTGTAGTAGCATGAACAGTAGAGATTAACACACACAAACACAAACACAAACAAAATGAAAGAAAGTTTTTCGGAGATTTTTTGAATAAAATATGTACTAAAGAAGAAAAAAATGTAACGTGTTATGAATATTTAGATCTAAAAAAAACTAAGGAATGTAGAAAGTTCATTTATTCTGTACAGTAAAAATTATTTTTTTTACAAACAAACATTACAATAATAAATTATTGTAATATTTTAAAGTTACTCTAGTTCAGTGCATAGAAGTATTACCACTACTACAAATGTAATTATCTTTACATCACATTGTTTTCAATTAGATCGTCATCAGGCTTTACTTTAACCTAAACATGAATATTTATATGAAAATATTAAACCAGTCAAGGCAATTTATGAGTCAACAATCACAATGGAGTAGATTACGTAACTACATATATTGGGGAAAAGTACAAGTTGACAGTAAGAAGACAGGTCTGTTAGTGGTAAGAGTAATAAAATACAATAACAAAAGTTTTTTTCAAAAGTTCACTCTTGGAAGTCGACTAGTAACGTCTACTCAACCGAAAGATAGGCTGCCTGAATAGGTCTCCTCAGTGATCATTTATAAATTCAGCCGCTCCAGTGGAGAGGGTTATATTGGGTGAACTACCATGCAACTGAACCAGCGAATGAGTGAACTTCTCCCAACATGGTGTAAATAGGCCAGATAAAACCCATACGCAGCTCTACCTTGGAACACTTGACTGATTGTGGTCATAATACAGATAAAATCAAATCATTTCGAATGATATATTGTATGCAGCCATCATTTCTCAATGGAGTTCGACCACATCTCCGACATATAGCAGAAGTCAAAGTAATCCGAACATTTAACCCCAATGTATGTGTCCATAAGAAATCCATAACACCCCTGTCCCTCCTTTGGCCGGATACAGTTTAATAAACGATTTTATTTCATGATGATTAATATATTTTTACATCTTGTATTTGTTTGTCATTTTTGCTCACCTCTTTCTGTCTATATTGTTCACTATCTAATTATTTACACACTTGTACCAGAGTTTTTTTCTCTGAGCTGGATGTTTTGGTTATGGAGCTTTTATTGTTCTTCTGAACAACATCATCCGCCCAAACTTCAGATAGAATTGGGGTATTTGAATTTATCCGTTTGACCAGTAGCTTGTTCTGATAACCTCCATCAAGGAAGAATATTCACACACTTCTTTTTACATAATTCTAATGGTGCTTTGTAATTGTTATTTTAACTTTATCTGTCCAAGTTTGCCCACCTACTTCCAATAGTGAACTATTGACACAAACTTTTGTTATTGTATTTTATTACTTTTATCACTAACAGACCTGTCTTCCTACTGTCAACTCGAACTTTTCCCCATTATATGTAGTTACGTAATCTACTCCATTGTGATTGTTGACTCATAAATTGCCTTGATAGGTTTAACATTTTCATATAGATATTCATGTATATTAAAGTAAGGCCTGATGATGATCTGATTGAAAACAATATTCTTTGCTTATATATGTTGTTTAAATATTTACACTGTGTACAGATATCAGTACTGAAATAGAACTGAAATATTAGGGTTATTTTTAAAAGTTTTCATCAAACACTTCACCCACACATTCTATAACATGTATTTGTGTGTTTGATAATAATTCAGATTTGTGCTCCTCTATTGTCTCAAGGCTGTTCATCTATTAGAGAAAAATAATCACAGATCGATATCAACTAAAAAACCATTAAAATCAGAGCGAAACTAGTCCGTCTTAGTCTCGTCTTAGTTTAAGATAAATAAAGTTAATGTTGACAAACTAACACGGGATCGAATGCAATATCTTCAGAATTAATGGTTACTACTTAAAGAATTCTCCATTATTTTTATCAGTCATTTCAATATTCATTTTAAGTTCAGTATCCATCATTTAGTCAGTTATACTTAACATAGAATTTAAACATTGTACGTCGATTCAACTTATTGCACTTTGTTAGAACAGTAGGATGAAATCGTCAGAAACTACACAAAGGAACAACATAATTTTCACTGAAATCTTTACTACATTATATATGTATGTTGTCATTTTTTCTTAAATTAAGAATTTAAAATAAAGTGTTTTTTTTGGCTTCTATGACAATATAATTTTTAGGTTAATTAGTGTTCATATTTACACTGAACATGATGTACTTACTACTTTGGAGCTTGAGTTAACTGTTTGTTATTTAACTTATTCTAAATGGTTCATCATCATCATCATTATCATCTTTAATTAAAATATTCATCCTAAAATAGATTGCTTTTTGATGAACCTGTAAATGGTACACTGGATAAGTTCTTTGTTATGTTTTTTTAATTCTTATCTGTACATTAATTAGTCATCAATAATCTTACAATTAGTTCATTGGTCATAATAATAATTCACGATTAAATTTAGCTTTTTATATGAATGAATGTATGATAATATGAGTTATTTCACCTTCATGATAATTGTTTTACACATAACTATTGATAATATATATATATATATATATATATATATATATATATATATATATATATATATATATATATATATATATATATATATATAAATGGAATTGTAGTCTATTTTGAGGTCAATAAGATGTACTCGTAGTTATTTGATTTTCAATGATGAATACAAAACACGTATTACTTATAAACCTCAGTCTGTTACCTATAAAGACTGACAGTTTAACCAACAGTGACGATTTGAAGCTGAGAATGGGAAACTACAACAAGAAAAATCACTGGAAGGCATTCATAGAAGCAACCTGAAGTGAAATAACTAGAAATTATTTTAGAACGACGTTACGTGAAGTATGTTACATAAAGGCTTGAGTTGATGTTTGTGTCCAATATGTTCAAATCTCAGCCTACAAACCTAAATCTAGATACAATAAAATACACTACAACCAAAGAAAATAATTCTTGATAAGAATACACTCTTATAAAGATATGCCTAGTTGCACAAATCTCACTGACAAAATGATGTTTTTCAGCGCTGAATAAGTATGTCAGAAAATTTTAATTTCACTGATACATAAAATGATGAACAATAAGTAAAATTGGAGAAAAAACAAACACTTTAACACTTTGTATCATGCCTCATGTAGAAATCAGTATCCATCCTGGAATTATGCTGGCCTTTCGTTTCATTTTTTTTGGCCCTTGAATATATATATATATATATATATATATATATGTGGTATACATTCTAATAATTACAAGTGTTTTTTGTTTTTTTTCTTACCTGTCGACTTCTCATCAGTCTACAAATAATGAAACGAATTACACAACATTACAGCGCACCGAAGGATTCAGCAAAAAATAAAATAAAATAAATAATAGAAACGTAAAAAACTTAATGAAATTCAAAATATCCTACTTCGAATTTACACAAAATTTTAATATTTTCTTTTTATTCCATAGAATGTAACATATGTTTTGTATGATTTTGTTAAGTACAGTTAACAAAATTACAAAACATGCTTCTTGGTTAATAAAAAAAGAATAATGAATGAATGAATGAATGAATGAAAATATTTATCACATTGTAAAATAAAAAAACATGGCGTCATGTAGACGGCACTTGGGGTAATAATATTATTCACAAGAACAGGAAAAAAAGTGACATATTTGTGTGTGTACAAGTGTGTGTGTGCGATTGTTTGTTGCGGTCAGGGATGTGAAAATTTTAAGAGAATGAATAAAATAGTCGCTTATACTACTACTATACTACTTATTACATTTTATATGAATGTTATTTGACAGAAATAGATGTATGTAAATCCTATGGTTAAGAAATGGTTGGTCATTTGTAATATGTAAATTATTTATTGCAAGCAAAAACAAACAATGAATTATAATTTTCTATGTTTTTTTGGAATTTTTTTGGTTAACTCTGTCCAGCGTTGACTTTTGGCTACAAACACTGTTGTTGATAATTCTTAAACTAAGATTAAACAAGTTTTCCGATGTTCTATTATGCTGTTGTAGATGACTTCAAATAGTGTCAAATTATTAGCCAAAAAAGATATTCAGCTTAATAATGTAATTACGATAATTATCGGCCAACTGAAAGTGATTATGTTGGTTAGTGTTAGAAGCGATTGGCATGGCACTCTGGACAGAAGTTTCGTGTTAGTTGACACTCATCAGAAAGATGTACCTTCAGTCTTGAGGAAAATGATCCTCTCTGATGGATTCGGTTCCACATCACCCAACCTTAAAATATGAAATACTATCATTATGCTCGTCTGGCCTCGAAGGACCTATAGTAAGACTGATATATTTACAAATGATTGATCACTTATGTCAAGTTTGTCTAGTTCTTTAGGGCGTTTTTAAGTGAAACTAGGTAAGCCGTTTGTAATGCAGTTCCATTAGACGAATCTGCTATTCGTACTGTGATATTTGGTAAGCCAAAGTAGAGTGTTAACATTCACTAGTTTAATGAATATCATTTATTAACATGATTGTTTGGAAATAGCGCATGCATATCACTAAGAAATGGCTACTTGTTTACTTCTTACAAAATCTACAAATTTAATGTCGATTTTTTTATTAGATAACCTATGTAATAAACGTCATACTAAAGTACTGTCTTAACTATTTTTTAGGAACTGTATTTAAATTTTGAATGTTTGTTATATTGATAATAGGTAATTTACAAATAATCTGACAAATATTTTGGTATGTAGTTATGCAGGAGTAGATTTACTGAATTATTCATAAATGGAGCTCATATGAAATGATTCATGTGCTCACTAGTTTAGGAGTGCTTTTAAGAAGTTGTGATCAGTGAGGTTCAACCATATCAGATGTTGAGAAAGTACCCACCGAAGATAATTGGAGATTTTTGAGCAATATTGCAGATTGACTGAAGTTAGACTTGTAAGCCTTCGACTCTGGCTAAGTGGTCTAGCGGGTAGGACCGAAAGTTTCGCACCTGATTCCCAGGCATGGAGGCATGCTTTTCAGGAGTCCCATACTAGGGTGAAATGGCCAACCAGTGCTCACAGGTTTTCAGTAAGTGTTTGCCTTAGATCACGTCATAATCTTAATAAGAGGTTTTTGTCCATCATATGAATAAAATGATAAAAATACTTCAAATTTGTACTGATAAGGTATCCCGTATTCAATATGAGTAACGTGTACAAACACGTTTTCCAGAGGACAGATCGGTAATCAAACAGGCATTGTTTTCAAAATTAATCTGAAGTATATATTTACTGGGTCTATAGATTATTTCTCCAATAATTTAAATCTGATTACTCAGCATTACAATCAGATACACTACACATAAGTAATGAAGAACTGTTACCACAGTAAAAAGCCAATGAAAAACCTTTGGAAATACATTACATTATCCTTTTTGTGCATAAAATTCATTTCACCACAATCCGTTCTCAATGTAAGTGATGCAGATGCTGATTAGCTAATTAGGAGAAGAAGGCTTTATACTACTTCTAGAATCGCTGAAAACTCGGGAGCATAGCACTGCTATACCTTGAAACCAAATTCCTATTTGATTTGTTTTAATCTGCATACTAAGTACAGTTGTCTACTCAGTAAACGATCTCTTCTTAACTGCCATTGGTCATACTAAATTAGTGTCAGTAATACAAATCCTATATGTTGTGTTTATCGTAAGTTAAGAAACACCCTAAATGCACTATTCTAAATCGTTTATCGATCAATGATTTATACCAGATTCTGATTTATTTGTAAAATAGAAGATTCTGCTTACTTTAACTGCTTCGTCATAGCCTTGACGAAGATATCGACCAATACGATTGAATGGAGACAATTGTGTCCAACATGTTCTCAAACTGCATGATCCAGAAACACCATGACATTTACATGCTACAGAAGCTAATTTATAAACAGCCTGGAAGAAAAAATAAAGAATTATCCAAATAGTCTGTTACAACTAAACATGATAAGTTGGCATTTTTGAGATTTTGAGGGAATCAAAACAACTGAAATCATACAACTAAATGTTTTCTATGAGTGGAAATACTCGACAAGTTTAACTATACTATAATTTTGAAATGTTCATCAAGTATTATTTGTAATCCTGACAAACTTAACCCAAATTTAATAATTCCTATCAACCATTAAGCTGACTGAAGTAAAGACTAGAGTTACAGGTTAGTTTTTGTTGATCAGAGTTCATAACTAGTTTTTGGCTTAGAAAACATACGTTTCAAAAAATGATCAACAGTAAATAGAAGGCAAATAAAAAAGTGTTTCTTTCCGGTAGCAATCAACTCATGATGCGAAAGAAAACCGTGATTTGTCAGATGAGTTATTCTCTGAGAAATTCTCATCACAAATAAATGTCAAATAATCTTTTTTTTTAATTTTCGGAAATACAAACTGAAATATAACTAATTAAAATGCCCTGAAAGGTCACACTAACAGTAAATTTAAACTAATCAAACAAAATATTCCCATTTATATTAAACTATGTTGGAATAATTTAAAATATATACACTAAAATAATATATTCAAGTATTTGATAGTATCAGAACTAAGCAGAGTAAGTCGACCTTTTGGGACTAGTCACTGGAATACATATTTAAACAAATCTATATGTATCACAAATGAGTGCTTCGGCTGCCAGAAACTTGGGATGTAAACAGAGTTTTCATAAAGCTTCCAACTAACACGGTGGGTTATGGTGTGAAAATCTGTCGACGATGATGTACGAAACGAAAACGACGACATACTTAACTGAGCACTGCCTACACCAGAATGTAGAATGGACACTAAAGGATAGCCTATGTAGTTTGAAACTAATTTCTTTGCGTTGAAAATGCCTTCATGTCCACATGATTTCCTGTACATACTCACATGGATCTGAATTAGACACTTCAAAAGGCATTTGATCAAGTGGATGGTAATAATAAGACATCTAGAATACACGATATATTTAATTTTAAGGTTAGCAATAAAACAAGAACTTACCAAACGACCTGCTCTGTTGTTATGTAAATTCATTAACATACGTGCTAATTCATTTGAATGTCTCGGATAACTTTTCTCTTTTTCTCTTACATCAATAAATGCTTTAGCAAATCTATAAGCATAAGCAATATTATCACCACAACCACCCCATATCCAATCTCGATGAAGTTGATCTGGTCGATCAGCTTTACTACAACCACATGAATATAATCGAGCTTCTTTACAACTTCTTGCCAATGCATGTACAACACCAGCAGCAGATATTGCATGAGCAAAAGCAGCTTCACGACTACCTAAAAGTAATAACATTGACAATATAATGAAGTTTTGATCAAGTATGAAAGATATCTTAAAAGAACTCTCAAATTACTTGATAAAAGTGTTAGACTTAAAACTTTAAACAAAATCCATGTGATTGATATGCTCAGCTTGAATCAACATTTTATACAAGATGAATGGTTGTTCATAAGTATGTATGCCTTACCATCCTAAAACAGTTGTGTTGCGATAAATCTATTTGAAATTAACGTGATATCAACTTCATGGAACAAATTTATTATCTTCGCTCATGAGTAGTAAATAAGCAGAAAACCATTTACTTTACAATGTTAAAGATGAGTTATAGATTTCAAAAGATTAACAGAGTACTTGAAGGATAGATGATACGTATTGCGTGCGATATTATATAGATATCTTGAATGAATATCAATCAGTGTTTACTAATATACGATGCACTTTGTTGTAGATAGTTTATAAAACGACACTGTTCAAAGTCATTGAGGTTGATCCCACTTTTGTTCTCTAATTTCAACTGTCATTAACTTTTAAACAACTCTGATGTTGCAGAAATTGAATTAATGTCAACATGTTTTATTTCCAAAATTAATGCTCAATTAGGCTTCCATCAAGTTCGAATCAGTTGAATGAAAATTTTCACACTACAAACTTTTAATTTGCTCGATGAATATTTTTTGTTTCATGCGTATTTTTGCATTGATTGTTGAACTCTGAGTTTATTCATACTAATTTTGTATGAATTTGGCATATTGTTTTATAAACTAAATTATTGGTTTGATGAACACTTTTATGTCAAATCTTTTGATATAAACAAAGAAATTATTGACAGGAAGTCTTTCTCTCTCTCTCTCTTTCTATATATATATATATATATATATATATATATATATATATATATATATACATAGTGCACTTTAATGTCAAGTCATAAAATGAAAGTAAAGGATCAAGTCCGCTTTAACGTACAGAGTTTGAAGTGAATATCCTACACTAAGACAAGTAAATTGATGCATACATATACAGAAAAAATCGATGCCATAATAGTGAGAATAGAGCTATTAAAATGATAATAAGCTAAACAGACAGATGATCGAGGATATTATTCAATCAAAATGAATATTTTTTTGAGGTTGTGTTCTCTGAGCTCATTGCTGTAATCGTAAAACTTTTATCTTTCTTGATAGCATCATCGCATACAGGTCTAATAATAGTTTGATGACTAGAAGATAAGAGATCAGATTAAAACAAAAGACAGTGAAGATAAGCGTTCAAAGAACAACCACACATTTATGAACAACAGACGACCGAATTACTAGACAGTAAGATATAGTTATATATTTAAGTGTATGTGCTAGTGATGATGTCCAGAAAGATAGAGAAAGGTTCACAACAAAACCATCTAGTTTGAAGAATACAATAACTTTGTAAAAGATTACGCTCTTTTGATTGGTAAAATTTTTTTAACTGAAGTTAATTGCTTTCTTTTACGAAATCTGATATCAATCTAAGAACTAGTGATAATTTTTTTTACTGGTTAAATACTAGACCTTGATGTATTGTGCGAGGAAAAATATTGTTAAACCATCGAAATACAATTTAACAGTACATAATTTTTGACTATACATTGTAAACTTTATTTAACGACAAACTTATTTACAACATGATTGGCTTCACATATTAATCATATATTCGCTAATAACTTACTCTGAGGTGAATTTTGAACTACGTCAGTAAACTTGACAACCGTAGAATCATTCAAATTATGAGTTCAACAGTTACCGATTCAATCAAAAGATCATTCTGTATGATGAAGTGAAAATGCTGATCTTTAAGTTACAATTATGAAACGGGATAATATTTTGACTATGTTTCGTTTAAGTCATGTAATTCAGATTTTTAAATTCACTATTCATCATAGTTTAGTCAATTTACGAATCATATCAGCTTAGAAAAGTTATAGAAAATTAATTATACAATTCTAGATTTCTGAAACAAATAATATTGAATTATTTTTTGTTATCATAAATTAATTACAGTTAAATAAATATTCACAAACAGATAGAATAATGAACTTTAGGTTTATCAAAAAAAAATAAATTTTTGATTTCTTTGACCAACAAATTTTCATTAGTTATTTATGAGTTTTTTATAAATACTTGTTTACATATTTATGTTTTTGAAACCATGAATCGATCAATGTTAGACCACCATTAGAAACCTGCAAGCACTGGACGGCCGTTTTGTCTTGGTATGGGACTCATCAGTAGTGTGCATCCACGACTCCTGCACCCCGCAGAATTCAAACCCAACACCTTCGATATTGTGAGAGAATGCCTAACCTCTGGACTATTGAGCCGGTATCTAACGGTGTTCATGTCTAACTTGATCAATTCACGGAGTTGCGCATCCTTATACACAGTCTTCGGTAGTTACTGTCTACATCCGAACAGGTTGGACTTCACTGGTTACGACTTCCCACTAGAACTCGGAGAAGATTCATCACGAAGCTAGTCACTAGTGAGCACAGGTAATTTGCATTACGGGGTTGTGAACATTGTTAAGTTACACATTTTTGAAATCATGAATCGATCAATGTTAGACATGAACACCTTTAGATACCGGCTCAGTGGTCCAGAGGTTAGGCATCCGCTCACAGTATCGGTGTTGGGTTTGAATTCTGCGGGGTGCAGGAGTCATGGATGCACACTACTGATGAGTCCCATACCAGGACAAAACGGCTGTCCAGTTCTTGCAGGTTTCTAATGGTGGTCTAACATTGATCGACTCATAGTTTCAAAAATGTGTAACTTAACAATCTTCACAACCCAGTAATATAATAGTATATATACATATATATATCCTCTGTTATTAGAATGGATAAATTCTTGTTAGAAAGTACTGCAAATATTCTTCCGAGAATGTTTAAATCTCTTATTAGGTATCAAACAAAATTTTTCAGCTCTACATTAAATCGCAAATCGATAAAATCCAGTTCTCCTATCTACATGTTACTGAATGGTCCAGGAAATAAAATGACTAGACGGCGGCGACAAAATGCCTGTTTATTTTTTTTATCTCATTCGCTATTTATCTGAAACCAAATTTTCATTAAATGAAGTTTCAGAAATTTCTATCTAACTAAATCTAACTAGTAGAAATGTTCAATCAATTTATGGTAGACTTTTTAAGAAAAGAGTAAAATCTTCTCTTGCCACTGTCTCTTGTATGAATAGAAAAGCATATGCGCTTGACTTGATTTGGATTATAAAATTTATTAAATTCTGAAATTTACCTAACGATATCTAAAGATGATTAATTCATGTAACAATATTCAGAATAATTTCAATTCAAGCGAAAAATGTTCAATATTCCACACGATTGTCATCCATTTTTATGCTTGACAATCTATACAGCTGTAGCAGTTCAGTGTTTCTATCTAATTTCTTTTAATTGATAATGTTTTTCTACATTTGTCAGTGGTGTAAGACAAACGGAATGGAGAACTGACTGATGCTTATTTAACTGGAAAAATATTATTCACTGATAAAATGAATTCGGTAAGTAAAACGTGTGGGACACAATAAGCGAATTGTAAAGAAATGTGTACAAATAAGTGTAGAGATATATGTGAATTAGTTTGGAAGTAGCTGTTTGAAATACTAGTGACATTTTTATTTATTAACCAATGACAGTGATCGATGTGACTAGTTAATATCTTAAGAGTTTGACAATACACGTTAGTTGGTGATAAATTTAAAAAATGTGTCATTACTAAAGTAAAACAAACATTGAAAAATGAATCATAATAACAATACTAACAAAGGTGAATTATTTAATCGCCTTTATGCGATATATATAAGATATAAGATATAAGTTTAATTACCGGAGAAATGCAAAAAGCACTGAAAAGTTGTTTAGTCCTGAGTTTCGAGTCTATAGCAGTAAGAACCTGAGACATTTTGGGGATCAATCATGTTTTCAACACTAAATATTAGCACAATTTGAATCAGATGCCAAATGTGTATGAATTCAGCCTATAAACGTTTTTTCGTACTCATTACTTTACTCAAGTACTGTTAGCTATAAATTATAAGAGTTATAGATTTTAGAATGATACATTACAGTACAATACAGTTCATTATTACTATATACTTAAACTATTGCAAATTCATCAGAGAAATACCGACTTTTATTTATACAAGTGCATTTACTACAAAATTAAATTATCTAAATAAAATAGATGTTCTTGTTTAAAGGTGTGACTAGATTTATCACTTGATATTCGTAGAAAATAACTTCATACACACAAATAATTCTAACTTCATGTAAGTTGTCTCTGTCTAACAGTTAAGTGAAATATACTCAACAAGATGATGGAGAACTGATTTTATTATTAAAGTAATCTGTAGAAAATTGCTAGACTTAAAAAGCTTTAACTTAAAGGCACTATTTTATCGAATGAAAAGTCATATTTGGTTCAACCATATGTTGGAAAATAGAATCTGCAATCTAGAACACTTCATAAAAGTATCTATCATGAAACAGCATGAAGACAACAAACTTGCAAACATAGTGGTGTCTACGATTTTTCAATGTTCAACATATTGCATTGGACAGTAAATGAACAGATGACTACTATGCGACACAATTTCGCAATATTTTTATTGACTGTTGAACTTAGCTTCTTTCTATCAAAACAGTTTTAACTATAAAAGTCGTTCTTTAGATATTAGTGAAAATCAAGCTAGTTCCAGAAAAACTCTAAACTAACGAATCGTTATAACAAAATTTATACACTTTACACTCATTGAACTCTAATCTAAATGTATGTTCACTATAGTGATGTTTTCATAGACAAATGTTAGCAGTATATTCCAAAAATTAGTGAGTTTCAAATTTTTTTCTGTTCTTGTTATGTGATGACATAATCGGACAAGGGGAAGAATAGAACACAGTTCAGTTGAGGGAAATACACATCCACAGACTACAAAATAAG